TGTGAACGTTCACACAAAAAGATCGGATTTTTTCAAAAAATCGGAACTGAGCATTAAGACCTGCAGTGTGAACGTAGCCTTAGATGGAAAACTTTTTTCAAACTGGAATTTTGTAACAGACTGAATGTGATTTCTGTTTAATAACTGATATGAATCTGGATTTGTTTTGAATTTGGCTGTRTAATCTTGACTTATTGTTTCTGCCATAGAGTGCTGTGACACAACTTGTGTTTTAAAACAATGTTACATGAGCGATGTAGACACACCAAACTAGAAATACTCATCCAGTAGTTGTATATGGGTTATACGATATTAATACAAGCTATTCTTTTCTAAATTTATTGTCAGCACGCTGTGAGGAGAGCCTCTGCTCAGTTAGCACAAACAATTATTTCCACGTAGGTGTTTGAAATCTGAAACTCGTGAGGCCAGTTTGATAAAACACATTATTCAAGGAAGCACATGATTTGTGAAAATGAAACCAAAGCAATGCTCCTGAGCTCACCTTGCCATCCAGCTTTACAGATACATGTCTTTTCTTGGCATTGACCTCTTTCTGGGTAGCCGCAGTCATTCTGACAGTATGGGATGTCGCAGGCTTCCCCCTTCCAGTTGACGTCACACTCGCAGTAAACCGAGGYGGTGGAGTTCCCCACACGACACTCACCTCGGCCCGAGCAGTTGTTGGGACATGTATTCACTCTTCAGATGAGGAGAAAAATAATAATAAACAAATGAAGTAAGACATTATCATCTCTCTGTGCAAGCAGCAACCTGACAAARAATAAAGATAAACTAAGCACCATTCTCCTTCAGTCTGTAGAAAGTCTTGTTACAAACTGTTCATCCTAAGAAGTGTGTCTTTCATCACACAATACTGACATATCACCAAGTTACACACACAGGGGGCAGCATAACTGAAATATTGACAAAGACTAAAACATTCTTTATTAGCAACTAAGAATAGTTTAGTTTTTCCTTTGCAAAATCCCTCAAGTATGTCACAACACAAACATACAAGACTGCATTTATCCTTTCTATTACTCTTACTATATAAGCTACATTTATTATCAATGATTTAAAGTAGTGCAAGTAGCTTACTAACAGTAAAATATTCAAAGTGCATTGTTAAATTTTGCAGTCATACATATATAAAAAGCTGTATTACAGCTTTAGGTTAGCATAAAAAAACATTGCATACTGCATGAGAAACACTCTAAAACAACCTATAAGTTTGGGTGAAGAATTCATGAAGCAAAGTCGACAGAGATGCAAGATCTTAGCCATCAAGGCAAGACATTACAGTAAAGCAGTGCTATTCAACTGGTGGCCCGCAGGCCACATCCGGCCAGCGAGTGACCAAAGTTTGGCCCGCCAATTGGTTTATTCATCTCTTAAGCCCAAACCCCCAGTTTTCTACTTTAATTAGTCTATGTTATTTTAGTTAAACATAGACATGTTTGGTATCTACAGAAACATCAGAATATTTGCTACAAGCTGGTAAAAACCATTTCTACGAATATCCAAGACAGTTAAAATTACAAGCAGTTGAAGATAAAACCATGAAAGTGAAAATAAAATTGGTTTAAAATTTTGGCAAGTCAGAGATGTTAAAATAATATTTGTGTTCAATAGGAGGCATACTGTGTTCTTTTTATTTTTTTT